ATGAAATTAAACAGTTCCGGAAAGATTCAAATTAGTTCGACCACATGCACGTGGGAAAAAAAGGCTAGTGTTTTTTTGAAGTATGTATGCCCGGATGTCGGGTGAGAAACAGCTGTTCAATGAGGGCGTTGAGCGCGGGCCTCAACAGCTATATTTCGGCTGGTTTGGCCAGCCGAAGTATAGTGCTCCGTTTTAAAACTTATCTACATTGTATCGGTCTTGCCTCTATATTTATATAAAAAAATTGACAGCCAATGAAGGGGGGGAGGTGAGGGAGTAGCGTCATAAAAATATTACGGAGCCTTGTGGGAGGATCAGGTAAATTTTATCCTCACACAACCAAAGTTCTCCGACCCCTAAAAAGAAACATGAGGTTCATGCGCGTAGAATTCTTGCTCCAGCCGTATTCTCTGATTTTTTTAAGGTCTTAACCTTACCCCTTCGCCTGCTCCTCGCATGTTACTGACTACGTTGCCTGGAGCATTCAGTTTTCAGTTAAGTGTTGAAATTAAGTAATCCCGGCGGGATTGTGTTGCTTTTGTTTTAAAACGCGCGATGCTTTTGTAAGAAACTGCGCGCTTGCCTCTCCACTAATCATATGCAAAACTAAAAATAATTGCGAATCCCGCATGAATTGTGTTTTCCCGCGCTTGATGTTCTTACTTTGACTTTTTATCGGCTCCCTGCTACTTTTTTCTTTGTTTTGGGATTGTTGAGAAAAGGGTTATTACTTTTTCGACACTTAATCGAAAGGTTCTGGACTCAATATAGTGAAGCATCCTAACGACGGCTATTCAGACTGCGCTCTGATCTTTTTTCTATCCCAAAATTTGTAGGTAACCGATAGCAAAAAGAACTGAGCTGGTGATGATGTCAGCTGGAAAGAAAACTGATCAAAAGATAATTTAGTGTGGAGTAATAAAAAAGTTAACGAAGAAAATGTTTGATTAGGAGACAATGCCCATGAAGACATGGAGCAACTTTATTTACTGTACAACAAGAGCCGGATATTCTAATGTCGAAAACTGGTAAATAAATGAGCCAGCTTGGAAATTTTCTTTGCTTCTTTGAAGTAACTTCTAAAAGTGCCTCCTTTATAATAACGAGAAAGAACTGCGCTTAAAAAAATGTCCCAAGTACTCAAGGAAATGAAGATACACCTGAAAACCTTTAAGTGATAGACAGGCAAACTAAAAGTCGAGGGATGGAAAGCTTGAGCTGTCAAATATTCGCGATATAGGAGCTAACGTTTGTTTATAAATATCTCTCACTTCCTTGTTTCGATTCCTTCCTTCTTTACCTTCTTCTTTTCTTCATTTCTCGTTTAAGGTTTTGGTTGTTGAGCAATCATATCGAATTTTCAATAAAGTATTTTTCACACGAATTTTTTGTAGTTTAGCAATCAGAGAAAGTCTACGAATACTTCAGTCAGAAAGGGAATGTCTTCGTATCCAACTAAAAGGCCGATTCCTCAACACTTTCGACTTCTCTACGTAGTACGATAATCTTCAATGCTAATCTAAAGTCTCTTTTTCTCATCGTATAAATCCACGGGTTAACTGCTGCGTTCACATATGCCGAGAAAAGCGCCCACGTACCCCAAGATTCCAACCTCGTTTTTTGCTCGCAAGTTGCAGATCCACTGGTTATGATCTCGGTCAAAGAGAAGGCCAAGGCTGGAAGAGAGGTTACGAAAAAGATTGCTATTATAATGGCAACCGTTATTGCAGCTTTCTTGTTTTTTATTCTGTCAGCGAGGCCGGAGAGGCTCCGTGGACGCTGCTGCTCAGCTATGACTCGCATCTGACGTGAAGATTCTCTTAAGATGTTAAAATAGCAATAGGAAATAGCAACAGCTGGAACAAAGAACACAGTAGAGATAGCTGCGATCCAGAAAGTGTCCTCATCAAGCAAAAAGCGGCGGCTAGCAACGCAGGTGGAAATCATCCACACTGAAACTGCAGTGATCAAACACCGACTGTTGGTTACAATAGCGCCATATCGTAATGGGAGTACAACTCCGACATACCTTTCCAGACTAAGAGAACATAAATTATAAGTTGAAGAGGCCACTGATAAAACGTAAACGCTGTCGACCCAAATGCTTAGGGGATGTTCTTCGTCTGAGATCCCGAGCAACGACCTGGTAATCCACATAGGTAGAGCGACCACACCAACAAATAATTCACCCACTGCCAAGACAGCTAAGAAGTAGTTAGTAACCGAGTGTAAGGTCGCTTTCTTGTAAATCGTGACGAGTACTAAACCATTTCCCGTGCAAATTACAGAGACGAAAATTAAACCCAGGACAGCAGTAAGGGTTCTGTTCCATTTTTCTGTTGGAAGAGTCATGCACTCGTCAATTGTCATCTTCAAAAAAGCTTAGGTAAAGCCGGCAATAGTCACTTTGGGATAATGCAACGAGGAAAGCAGTTTCTTAATTTCCGTTTTCAGCTATGAATATACATAGGTGATAAAACTTGGAAGCAGCGATCAGTTATTCCAGTTGAAGCTGCTGCTGCGCTTCCCCGGAAACTTTACAGAAGAAAAACTAAGTTTGGTTCTGGAGTGTCAGTTGCAGCTTGACTGGTAATATTTGAAGATCTAAGTCTCTTGATCGCTTTCTTCACGCTATGTAAACAGCGTTTTAGCTGCATCAATAGCGGAATCCTTTGTCAGCCCTTCGTTATCTTAGTGACCGATTCACGTTGTTTCTTGGAAATTTCGACCTGTTTGGGAAATGTTGGCGTTTATTTGAAAATTATCATTGTGTACTTCAGATTTTTTTACAAAGGTTCGTTCATTTTTGGATTCAGAAAAAGGAAACAGATGATATTTGTTGAGCATGCCAAAAAAAAAAAAAAAAGAATAGCACGTACCACTTAGAGTTTTGTTTAACAAGCTCTCGTCTTTCATTAGTCGTTTGAATGATGAACTAATTGATGACTGACGGACAATCACTTACCAAACAGACCACAGTTTTTAAACCGACGATTTTGTTATCTGAACCCTTTTAGATGATTGCGAATTGTCGAACCTCTTTCAAGTCTTTCAACGATATTAAAACTATTTTTGTACACACCAAATTGCATCACAAACAGCTGGAGTGATGAATTCAAAACAAGGGGCAGACCACAGGTTTATGCAAATACAGATCTAATCAACTGTGTTGATCATAAATTTTTTCCCACCAATAAAACCACTCTAAATATTCTGAACCGAAGAAAAGTCATTCACTTCGACTACCCAACACTTTATCATGAATAATTGAGGCATGCGCATGAGGAAGAAATCTCTGCCATCTCTGTAATATGCCAGGCCGCTTAGTCTTCCAGTTTCATTTTCGGATGTAAAATGGCGGCGAGTTGAACGGTAAGCAAACATTGCGGCACTACTTGGTGCAACAACGAAGTCTATCCTTCCCTTATCATGCTCTCTTAGACAGACTGCCTCAGTTTCTAGTAGTGGCCTTTTCAAGCTATTTAAAGAAAAGAGAAAGCAGTGCGGAACAAGATATGGAGCCCATATTATTTTTTTCAAGTTCGCGGTTTCCTTACTGTCAGTTTTCAAACTTTTACGAAGTGAATATTGAGATGGCAGAGGGAGTGTTTCCGTCGGTGGAACATTATTTTCAGGGAATGAAATTCATACCGGAGGACAGGGTACGGTTCATGAAAGACGGAGAATTCGACAAAAAGAAAGAGACTAAGGCCTCAAACACCAGAGAGGAAATTGCGAAAGGGAGATTGGCCAAGTCTGCCGGATCTAAGTTGGGTTCTGCTAAATACAGTTTGACGCTAGCACCCGATGGTTTAGACCAAGAGGTAGCTAAAGAAAGAATGAAAAGGGCTTTGCAAAGGAAATTTGAACAGGAGCCCTTCAGAAGTCTCCTTTTGGAAACCAAAGGTGCTCAATTAATCCATATCCCAAGGAGGGGTCGAACGGATTTTTGGACCGGAAAAAGAGACAAGGGGACTGGAGAAATTGTTGGTGAGAACACAATGGGGAAAATACTCATGGAAATCAGGGGGTTTATACAAAAAGAAACCTTGGCTGGGGAAAACCGTGTTTCCTCTAAAAAGCGCCCACACACTGATGAGTGCCCTCCACCAAATAAGCGCCCACCTCCTAAGGCTATAACGTCAAACAAGGACACATCTTGAACAAGTCCCCCTCTCTGTTTAAACATTTTTAAGCTTCAATTATTGTGCATTCAGTACAGGAGAGTACTTTATTCTCTGGTTAATTCTTTTTCAATTATTTCTATTTCCATGTGCTTGCTGTTTTTTTTTTGTTTTTTTAATTTTTGTTGTATCACCATGCTCTTGGTAAATAGCATTAACTTCCCAGGAACATCCAAACATTCTGTAATCTTCAAGGACTAGTAATTTCCAGGATAACAAAGTTATTGGGATGCTCTTTGAGAAAACAGTCAAAAATGAATAAGCACCCCCCTTTATTCTTGAAAATTATTAAAAAATTGGATCTTAAGAAATGATTTTCAGTTCATCTAGATATCTCTGAATAAAATGCTTTAGTTGCTAGAAGCCACTCTCTCATAATATAAGCCCCACCTCACCCTTGCCAGAGCTTCAAGTTCTTATTATGAGCTCTTCATGAGTAGATCCACCTCTATCATCTTCCCTGGTATAAAAAACCCTAAAGTAAAGACGCAGGACAAAACAATAACACTTAAATACTTCTATATCCATTGCAATACCCCATAGTACTATTCATGCATTGGGGCTAGGTATTGTTTAATTAAATGAAAAATATTGATGTATTTGAAAACCTATTTTTGTTTCTATGTGGACTTTTCAAATAGAGAAATTAGTGCAGTTAAATTAAAAAACAATTACTTGCACTCTGGCTCTCAATTTTTTAACCCTCAAGTTTTAACCCTCAAATTTTAACCTCAAGTTTTTAACCCTCTCCTTCTGAAGATCCCTTGCACTGTCTGCCTTACATTTCATATAACTCAAGCTCAGGGAAAGGTTTTTCAAAGCTGGGTTGAATGTGAAAAGTGTTTAATTAAACAGTTCACGACAATTTATTGATGCTGTAAGAAGAACTGACACAGTTGCTATTCTGAGCCTTCCCTCTTCAACAAAATCTTGTCTGCAACCCTTTAAATTTATTGTAGTTACTGGAGCAAGGGTTAGGGATTTGCCCTTTTCATAGCCGGTACTGTAATTTTTAACATTGAATTTTGGTTCAGCTCATCTACACTGGCTAGGTATCTGCCAAGTGTTTGTGTCAGAGTTAATGGGTTTAATTCCTCTCTTGGACTGAGATCATTTCTTTTTCCCTTGCTATTAACAAATGAATTTGATAAAATTCATTGCATGATGAGTGGAGAGACCAATTATTATTGTTGTTCCTCTATTTTTTTTCCTTTGTCTTGAGATTACTACGGAAGGAAGAGTCACAACTATGAGTAACAATAATGACTGAAATATAGATTGTGGTGCTAATGTTATCCTACATTTTTTTCTTGTTGTGGTAGTTTGGTCAAACCACATTTAGGCATCACAAAGCACTGGTCCTCTGATTTTCTACCACAAACAAAAATCCATTGGTAATGTCCTTTTAAACCTGCTTTTACCATTTGTATCATTTAGTTACTTACCAATTGTGTCTGTACATTGCTGAAGCTCCAGATCTGAAAAGAGCTCATTAAAAGCAGCGATCATCTAATATCAGCAAATCTAGGCCTTGAAATTTCATATAAACTGTTGTGTATCATGCATGCTTCAACACTAAATTATGAGTGATACTTTATAGCTCAGTGACTTTGCTTACGAGGTATAACTGGTGCATTTAAATCTACATATACGATAAGTTTGATTTTGGGTATTACAATAACTGAGCACTGCATGGTGTGGAGGCATGTATCTTTTGGAACAGCTCTACTCGAGAGACACCTTTATATAAGGGATGTAGATGACCTAACTGAAGAAGAATTCTCTCAAGCTCAGTTGCCACAAGAGAAACACACTTCTGAAGTAAGTGATTTTTAAAGTCTCTAAGATCTTAGCATATTACAACATATTTCTGCAAATTGCATGCTGGCATTTTAACCTCATGCTCAATCAACTCTGGTAATTATCAGATTGATCAGTTCAATAAAGTTGACAGACATTTACAGTACAGTTGTTGTAGGACTTCAACTAGCCTTGTTGTACCTTACTCAATATCATAGTGATACAAAGAAAGTAAAGATATTGAAAATAATGAAATCATAACTCGGCCCATGGTTATAGATAGAACTTCCTCAGTACTGGAAAGCAACCCTGAGCGTTGCGTTACGGGATATTTAAACACACGGTAAGAGTCTGGGAACGATTATTTTTACAGAAAAGCCGAAATGGCGGACGAAAACCTTTATCATTTCCGTATTTGTTTAGGTTTTTTCTTCTGGCTTCTGCAGGCGTCAACTTTTTCATATGGAGGGCAAAAACTTCGAATGGTTAATGTGGTGAGTATATCACAGAACTTCCACCATTTTGATTAGTTGAGTTACTAAGATTAATAAAAGATTCAGGTTTTGCTTGTACTTGTGTGATTATGGAAAATTTCTCAGACATTCTTAGATTGATTTGTTTGCTTGATAATATGTACACGTGCATTTTTTTTTTCTGTGCTGATCATCATTTTCGAAATATGTAAAGATTTTTCCTAAAAAACTCCGATCAAGATAAAGTCTTCTTACCTTGAAATAACAGAGTGGTCTTGGTGAAGAAATGATTACGGCACCAAATTTTCGTACTATTCACTGGATTTCACTAAAAAATTTCATGGGAAATTATGAAAGAAAGTAACAGCGATGGTCTTTTCACTTAAAAGTTCTGTTGCGCTAATCTACTTCTCTATGTTATGTACATTTAAATGAATGGTTGTGGGTAATGCATTTGAATAATGAACAACAACCTGTTAAATGGAAGAAGTTAGTCTGCATCATGATTTCACCTCCAAATTTTTTTTATCTTCCAAAGTAATTAAAAGTAATCAAAGGTAAAGGGCTGCATTTTGATGTTAACTGACTGGTGAGATACTTACACTCCCAAGGGAAAAATGTTAATTATTGACAAGGAATTGTGTTTTAATCATTTTTGTGCACAATCAAGAGTCATTTTCATACATTTAGTTTGCTTTATAAGTCTGAGATTTTGTTATAGGGAGAACATTTAGTTTGAGAAGTTTAGCCAGAATTATTACATTGTGATTTCTTATGAATTCTTATGAATGAAGTGTAATTTCATATTGGAATATGTCAATCAGCTATGTTCTGACACTTTGATGTTTTGTGGATCAACATTTTTACTTTAGTTCGAGTTAAATGTTGGTGATCTTGATATGGGAAGTCTGTCTTTTTATCAGGTTTATCGTCATGGGGACAGATCACCTGTACATTTTTTTAAATCAGATAAGTATCAAAATTATTGGCCACAAGGAAAAGGACAACTTACTCAGGTTAGTTACTAGACTCCAAAATAATGCAGAAAAATTTTTCTTTATAATTTTTACTTTTAATATGAAATGGGAAAGGCAAACACCCTATCAAAGGGAATTGTAATCATGTAAGAACAAGTTTTTTAATCAAGAATGTGAGTGTATCTGTGTAAGTAGTTTATTTCTGGAAAATTTGAACACTAAGTTTGGTTGGGTGCAATTTAAACCATCATAAAGTTAGTTTTGATGCTAGTTGTTAACACTATCTGTTAAACATTATCTTTATATTTATTTTGAATTATAGAGAGGAATGAAACAGGAATATGAACTGGGCAGGTTACTGAAGGATCGTTATGTTGAAAAACAAAAGCTCCTGAATTCATCATACCTGTTTAAAGAGGTAGACAACAGTTTATATTTATTTAATTTTTTTAATCATTATTAATTATATTTACCATTACATCTAAAATTACAACAGTTTACAGCTAACGTTAAGGGAAATAAAACAAATTAATGGCCGGGAAAAGTAGCAATAAAATAATATTTTTGATGAATGAATTTGTCAGCAATATTTTCAGAGATTGTGGGTTGTTTATTGAAAAAATGTGCTTCAGTAACTTTTGCCCATAGTGGATGGAACAAAAAGGCTTATGTTGGGGGTTTTAACTAAATGTTTGAAGGGATACTGAGTATATTAGATGGAGGGGACAAAACTTGAAGGTTAATTAAGGATGAATTATTATTGATTTTTTTGGTGGTAACACTGTGAATTTTGTCTGACTCTATGAAACAAGTGATAACTGGAAAGAAAACCTGACTTAGTGTTAATTTTGTTTCTCCATCCCTTGTAACAGATCTATGTTCGCAGTAGTGATAAAGATCGTTGTATCATGAGCGCTCAGGCCCAGCTTAATGGCCTTTATCCACCTATTGGAACACAGGTAAAGTCACCCTAAAACTTATGAAGTAACGTCCACGCTCCAGAATTTGCTCAGAGCCTTCACCAGTTTTTGAAACCTTGATTAATATGGGAAACTTGTTAATGTTTTCAAAAAAAAATGGCAGAATTCTGGATTCTTCCCACTGTGCTCACCCAGTTATTACCAAGAAAGACATTTTTGGATAAATTTGAGTATGGTAAGTTAAATGGGGCAATTGAATTGAAGGCTGATCTGGACCAGTAGTATTATTGCCTACAAAGTTCAAGATTTAAACTTTTAAGATGATGTGGATTATGGTTCGCATGCAGCAGGAAAATTTACAATTAATGAGAAGCCAGGTCTTGTAAGAGTGGAGAAATGATTATTGAAGTATTCCTAGGTATGGAGGAATCATCTAGACTGGCAACCAATTGGTGTTCATGTGGTACCAAAGAATGAGGATTATGTAAGTTCTACTCTCTCTAATTTTATAAGAAAAATTGTTGAAAATTTTTTTCATTCATTATTCTAAAATATCCATAATCATTTAGTTTGCAGCTTTAATGTCTGAAATTAGTTTCTTCATGATCATGTGGTCTGGTGAAAAAATCAAAGATATATTTTGTCAGACTTTATTTTTTTGTGATTTGGCAAGAAAATTGAATTGAAGGGTATAAATTCTTTTAGATCCAGATTGGAAATCATAACTGCAACATTTACCTCTTACTAAGCAATTTCAAAATCAGTGAAAGTAACAGTCTGATCCAGAGTTTCTTACTTGAGTACATTTTTGGGGTTTGGGTTTGGAAATTGTAAAGTTGACAGACAAGTGTAGCTACATTATTTTGTGCTTAAAAACTTCTATCAAGGATTCAGTTCTTTTTAACATAGGGTTATGGATTGCTTCCTTTCTTAATATTATTGATCTTGAATTGCAGTTTCTGCGGCCATATGATTATGATTGTCCTCGCCTCCCTGAGCTTAAAGAAAAATCTAAACAAGAGGAACAGTACAAAAATATGGCCAAACAAAACAAGGTGAGAGAGAGATTATTTTTTCAATTCCTTGCTTCCTTTCATTATTCAGGTTATTTTTTTGTGTTTTTCTGTTTGTCTGTCAGCCCTTCTACCATTTTCATTCTAACATATCTTGGTAATCTGTCAGTCTGTCTCCCCATCAAATGGTCTATCCATTTGTCTGATTCTCACTCCATACATCCATTCAGACTTTGTATCCATCTCTCTCTCCATACATCCATTCAGACTTTGTAACCATCTCTCTGTCCATACATCCATCATCTTGTTTAATTATATATACTGATTGGTCTATCCATTCATTCATCTTTTTATCAATCGAAAAAACTGTGTAGCTGTTTTCCTTTTCTTGAATCTCTTTCTGCCTCCTTGTGTTAATTCTTACCTGTGTGTAGTTACAAAGAATAATGTATACATATACGTGTATCGAGGATGATTTGTCAACATTACCCTTGGCAATTCCTGTTTAAATACAGGAGATGCTGGCTTATATCTCTGCACATAGTCAAGAAACTGTAAGTCTGGACAATGTTTGGGGAATCTATGACACACTTTTTTGTGAGGTATGTTTTGGCATTTTTGCTCTCACTGATAGTAAAATTGTGATGTGTTATTTTTAAGTTTTATGTAATGGTTGGTAGTTTCTTTCAGTATTTACCCTCTGCATATCACTTAACTGTATTTTGCAGTTTTCTCTTATTAAAAATAAAATTAATCCTCTGTGTTGCATGAAACACATTCTTTAAATCGATAATGAGTTACTTAATATTAAGATGTCAAATGTATGTCGTAAGTTAAAGTGGAAAATCGGAGTCACCTTTAACCTTTGACCTTTAAGGGTGACTAGCGTCTAACTTCCTTTAAATAAATATTAATAATGTTACCTTGGAATCAAACAGTAAGCTTACAAGATTGTCAGCAACTTAGGAAATGTTTAGAGAACAGTTTGAAGAACATGCACACTGGTGTTAGGGTGTGAAGGACTTGAACCAAAGTCAGTTCTGTTTTTTCTTTGAAATGCTTTGCTAATGCTTTGCTTACTGAGTTACAAAATATTTGTTTTAAAGGTAGGCCATTTCTTAGTTAATAATATTTTCTTTGACTTGGTTTCTATGTTTTTTTGTTTTTGTTTTTCTTTTTTTTGATATAGAAATCACATAACCTTACACTTCCTTCTTGGGCTATGAATGGCACAACTTGGGAATCCCTCAGAAATTTGAGCCAATTTGAAATGACATCGTTGTTCAACTCTCCAGAGAAAGCTAAAATGACTGGAGGTTTGGTACACTGTCGTAATCTTTTGTTTTGTTGAGTCTCAGAGATATATTGTCCACAGTTGAGGATGCTGCTCTCCTTCAGACAGACTCATAACTTGGAGTTGTTATCAAATTGGCAACAGATATATATATTATTTTCACTTAGTCAGCTTTGTGGCTCATTTTGCAAGCTAGAGGGGAGAATTTGGCCGGCTAAAATATATTTTAGCCCACTGAAATAAACCAATAAAAAGTGAGAATCAAACAATTATATGATGAAAACAGCTAATTGAAATCGAGAAGCCATTGCTATGTTAGCATTGTTTTCTTGCATTGTTGGTGAAACAAATCAAAGAAAATTTGTGCCATTGGGACATTCCATTTTTTATTTGCACCCCCCCTATGGAAGGCATTTTTTGGTACTGACAAGTAGGAATCTGTCGGAATCTGGAATTTTTGCCCCATTGGAGGGGGTCAGAATTTGCCCCCAAAAAAAGGCCTGTCGGAATCTAAATTTCAGAGAGAATAAGGCTTCTTGGAATCAAAAGAAGGCCTCTCGGAATCAAAAGAAGGCCTCTTGGAATCTAACTTTCAGAAGACAAAGACCTTT